ACCTTGCTGCTCCTGTGCTCCATGCGTGAATTCCTAGGCCAAGCATGGAATAATGGGTTGCATGCTCCTTGCCTCCTCTCTTCCTGGGCCAAACCTTGCTTCCTGGGCCAAACCTTGCTGCTCCATGGGAAAAACGGGAATTCCCCGCGGGAGGTTTCCCGGACAAATATGGGATCCGCTAATTCGGTTGGGAAATCACCCTAACCGATTTTGATACCGGATTCGCCAAATTTTCCCGGATTTCTTTCTGAATCCGTTTTTTCCTGAGAAAATGATATCCGGTCGGGAATTCCGGTATTCAGTGTCGGTCAGTACGGGAATTTCCCATTCCCGCTTTCATCCCTACATCCAGCGGCCTGAAAAGATCGCACAACGACGAGTGCGACCCCATAATCTCAAAAATCGGCAACGCTATCCAAGAATTGAGAAAACTATCTAGCCTCCGCCTGAAGCCATGCCGAAAACGCTGTGGGGTCAGCTCCAGGCAAAGCCCCGCTCAACCTTGCGCCGCCCTTGACAAAAGTGGCATCAATGGCAGCCTTCGCCTCTTGCATAGAGGCAAGCAAGGCGGCACGCGAGTCCTCCAACTGTTTTGCTCTTTTGTCGGCCAACTCCACAGCTTCCTTGTGAGCCTCCTCAACCCTTTTGAGATCCTCATCCTTCTCTTTCAACTCCGCACAAAGGTCGACATTACGACTCATACATGCGTCCGCATCTTCAACTAGAGCTTTATTCTTCCTAATCGAGGCTTCAAGTGACTCAGCCCACCAAGATAGCTCCCTGTTTCTAGCCTTCAAATCAACCTTCTCCTTCTCCAATGATGCTAATTGCTCCTTTAGTTCAGTCTCAACATAACCATGGCGTCGACGCACGGCCCGAGCAAGCATAATAGCTCTAACACCAGCAACCTCGACGTCCTCAGTCAAATCCTCCACCGTCTCATGGGACATCAAAAACTCTGCCTCCGGCATACAAATCCGGCGATACATCCCCACCATGAAACAATGCTCCTCTGCAGTCCCTACAAGATGGCAATCACAGAGGTCTGGGCTGGTAAACAAATCAATCTCTGGCTCATTAGCGCCGCACGAAGCAGCGAAATGTCTCAAGCCACTGCGGCTAACCTCGCCAGGAGCATGCTTTTCGGAGCCAGCTCCAGGCTCATCCTCATCTATAGCAACTTCGCGTCCCTCCCGCATGATATGTACGTGGCGATCGCGAGGCATCGACCTAGACCTAGTCGTGCCGGACTCAATTTCCTTCTCCTCAGCTCCACAACCCTAAAACTCGAGCTCTTCAGACCCAACAGGCTGAGGGTCACCCAATTCGTCATGCTCATCATCGTCGACATCATCTTCATCACCACTCATGCTAGATTCACTGCTACTACTAGAGGAACTTGACCCATCAACCTTGACCTCCTCAGAACCGTCGCTCACCTCTTTCTCCTCATCATCACCCTCGTCATCCGAGATTATTTGCAAAATAGGCAGTCTGGAGGCTTGGCATTTTGCGGCCAGGTAGAGGCCCCCAACCACACTCGGCAGAGGGCCCAGCAAAACTGTAGACTCGGCTTCACCACCATCACAGACGAAGCAGTCGACGAAGCAGTAACCTTCGCCACAGCAACACGATCAACCTTAGATCCCCTTGCGCGCCCACGACCACACCCACCTCGCTTGGACATACTTGCAAGCTTGCCTTCTGCCTCGGCCCTCTTCCTCTTCTTGCTACCCTCGGCATCTTTCAACTCCACAGACGGACAGTCTGGGTAAGTCAACCCAGCAAGTCAAAGCACTGGTTAACACGTTGATGATCAGCCAAGGCAACCTTAATCGCCTTGTTCTCTAGAGTGCCAAGAGCCCCAATGAGACCCTCAATGGCCTCGGCAACCTTCTTATACACAGTCTTAACACCGCCCGTAGAGCGATTGCTCTTCTAGAAAACCTTCGACCAGGCCTACTTAACATTGACGCCGAGCCCCTTTAACCCTCGCCCCTGATACCGTTTATCGTCCTTAACCACGAACCAAGCCTGGTCAACCCTCAAAGGCACAATCTTCGTGCAGACAAACTCCTCAACCAAGTCACGTGCACATTGATGGTGCGATAGAATCCTGAGCTCACCCACAATGGTAGCACAGGCGTCGGTTATGACACCCTCAGAGGTCACACTTTCAAGCTTCGATAACTTACCACAAAGACCGGGCTCATACTCCAATTTCACATAGAACCAGTTCTCTATCCATAGCGAAGCCCACTAATTCTTCTAAGCTTGAACAGGAACCTCTGCACCGTGCTGATAAACGAAGGTATACACCCCAAACTGCCCCAATATAGTCTTTCCCTCAACCATCGACTTCCGAGGCTGGGGATGAACTCGGTGAAGTCAAATGAAACCCTCGAGATCTGGCTCAACACCCTGTGACTTGCATCCCCAAACATAGATACTTAGCTTCACAAAACTAGAAGGGTTCAACTGGTGGAACTTGAGATTGAACCTCTTTCAAAACACCAATGACAAGCGGATGCGGCGAAAACCTCAGCCCAACCTCTTAAAACTCCTTGAAAATGGCAACCTTGTCATCTTCAGGGTCAGGAACGGTCTCACCCCCAGACGGCCTTGCAGAGTCACGAGCGAACCAAGCCTTCACATAGTCATCCAAATCACTCGACGTGACCCTCGAGAGACCAAACTCAAAACTCAACATGACATCCGAGCCAGAGTCAGCAACATCGGATCCTTCAACAAGCCTCACCGTCTTCTTCATGTGAGCCATTGATCTACAAAACAAAGCAACCAACAGACTCGTTAGTACAACTAAAACAACAAAAGAAACTAAAACGCAAGCGACCAGAAAGTACCCTAACGAGCACGATGATGCAGAGGAAGCCAGCGAAACACAACCCTCGCGCAAAATAAACCCTCGAACAAGGAGGCAGCACTCGCAACGATCGAACCTTCGCTCAGCAGCCTCCGCAATAGCAAACGGGCAACAAACCAAAGGCGCAACAACAAAAAACCCTAAACCCACCACAACTATTTATAGGCCACAAGCACCCACACCAAAGGAAAGCGGGCGGCGCACCCCCCGAGGAAAAAGGCGAAAAACCTCCAATAATCCCGTGTCCCATCCAACTGCACACCAGGCCCACATGCATGAAATCAACAACTGCCCAGCTTCGGTCGAGCACGATAGGGGCGTCGCTAGACCGGGGCTATAGGCTCAGTACCCTCGCATGCCCCCTCCCCAAGTTTTAACGTTGCTCCGACCCATCACGCTGGGCCCGACCCTCGAGGGGCTACTGTTGGGGGTGGAACCCCCGGCGCCCCTCCCCCTGGCCCTCGATCCGGCGCTGGCCTTCCTAGCTTGCCTCGTCGCGGGCAGCAGCCTCCGTGCCGAGGGTTCCCATTGCTCATTTGTGTACTGTTTTCGCAGCCAGGCAAAGGGCACAAAGGTTGACCATGCCTCGAGAAGACAGAAGGAAAGGAGCCAGGCAGCAAGTGTGGGCGGACCTCCGCCGTGGACACGCGAAGGTCAGGCGACTATGCAAGAGGGGACCACCCCGATGGGGGAGACAACCCTGTCAAGGCGATTGGGCCCGCGAGTGGTTGGCCAAAGGAAGGAGATTACCGCCGTACCCTTGGCATTTGTGTAGCGCTCTTCCTCCGAGATCTAACCCTAGTGTAATTTTGTCTCGTCTCCGGGTATGGTCTATAAATACCGGAGCACTCGTGTAAGAAAGAAGGGGGATCTTTTCCAGACAAATTTATGGGTATTTAATCTGCATTTTTACATCGTCTCGTACTCCACTACCCTCGCACGTCTCCTCGAGACAGCCTAGTCATTTCCCTGTGGGAAACCCTCGGCCTCTCCCTGTGCCCTTCAGCGAGGGTGAGAGACTAGGAGTGACCCCCAAAAAATACGTGCAACATTTGTATCTCCAAATAAATTTATTAAAAAATTAAATTCAAAGATTTTTTCAATGATACTAATTATGTACCATAAATATTAATATTTTTAACATATTTTTAGTCAAAGTTCTTTCTTAGGAAGTGAAAACGACAGATATTTATGGACATATGGAGTAGGTTGGGTAAGAAAGCAATATATATTTACTCATAAAAGTCCTTTGACATTTATGTGTTTCTCCTTTGCCCGTTCAAACGTCTAGACATGCGAATTTTCTACATTTTTTATTTCTCATACATTCCTATCATATCTCTATATTTTTCCTATTTTCATATATTTTTTATTCCTCTTCACGCGTGTTTCAATTCTAGCTCTAATATATTATTGCCTAGACAAAATGCCCTTGTTTTTGTCATCTTCAACCACACCGCAAATCTCTGGTTCGTGCCCACTGCAACAAAATCACGCAGACGCGAGACGGCCGAAACGCAGCACGTGACCGCCGGCCCACTCTTCGGATCCACATCCCTGCGCTCAACAAGACTCTGCAAACAAGTCAAGTCCAGACCCCCAAAGTCTGACGAAAAGTCAGAAAGCCAGATTACTATTCCTACCTGAAATATATCTGCCTTGTTTAGATCGTAAATTTTTGTAACTTGAACACTGTAGCACGTTTCGTTTGTATTTGACAAACTTTGTTCGATCATGGACTAACTAGGCTCAAAAGATTCGTCTCGTGATTTACAACCAAACTGTGTAATTAATTATTTTTTATCTACATTTAATGCTCCATACATATGTCCAAAAATTGATGTGATAAAGAGAGTAAAAAAACTTGGAATTTGAATACAATCTAAACAAAGGCCCCACGTCGGATACGTTCATTCATCGCAGCTGCCTGGCTGCCACACCTGGGCTGTGCGTGCGCAGCCTTGTTCTCGTTTTATTTATTACAAAAATACTCGTGACCCTGGCTGGTGGCTGACGAGTGGCCACTCCCCCACACTCCACTACTACTTCCCATTTTTTCAGCTAGATCAATCTGGTCAGATTCAGACGACCTTTGGATTGTGAGGCGTGAGTGACCATGGCAATGGGAGGAAGAAGCATGGCGCCAGCGCTGGCGCTCCTCGTCGTCCTCGCCGCCTCCGCCGCCCTGTTCGTCACCCCGGTGTGCCTCGCCGTGACGTCGCCGTACGTGCGGCCGGCGCCGAGGGAGACGCTGTCCCTGCTCCAGGACGCCGACCGCGACGACGCCGGCGGCCAGACGCCGCAGCAGGTGCGCGTTATTGCTCTCTGTACAAGGTTGCCATGCCTCCATCTTGTTTTTCTCAAAGATCTCCTTCTTGTGTGTTGTGGCGGTGGGTTTTCCGCCGAGCCAAACCTGACCAGGTTCTGAATTCTGAATACCAATGTTAGCATTACAAACCCTGCATCGTACAGTGATTTGGTTTCAGTTATTGCAGCATGCATGTTTTGAGCATTTTGTGCTAAGCTAGTACTTCGTGCGATTATGTTTGCAATGTTGAATACGATAACCGGTAGTATTCCTGGCCATCCAACTCGAATTTGTCTGGTGGTCGTTTTCAAAAAAAGAAAGAAAGAAATTGCCTGGTGGAGTGACGAATCCAGCCATAATTAATCATGCCTAGGTAGCCACTATCAACCAGCCATAATCCTAAATCATAGCTTCATCATGTGACACGACTGATAATTCTAGGGATGTTCAAGGTAGGAATGGGATGAAATTATATATGGCATTCATATATGGTTCCTGTTGGATTGCAACAAATTGCCGTTGTTTGATTTCACAAAAAGGACGTTCCTTTGGGTTTCTTGGTTTCCCATTCATCCACTTCCATCCACCATCATTTTTTAGGTATTCTGATGCGACTTAATGCGGGGCTAATCATGAGCCATGCAAAGCAACTTTAGGTTAGTGTAATATGCATTATTGATCCACTCATCATCTTTTCCTGACTGCCGTGTGACTCTTGTCTGCATACACATGGCAAAGTCTGATATGGCCGTGTGAAAACCATCGTCATTACAAAACGGTGAAGTGCCGTCTGGTAGACAACATAAGGCATTCCACATTTTTCAGAATTATATAGTTGTTGCCAATAATAAAGTACTTGTCAAACAAAGAAAAAAAAATAGACTTGCAAGAGTAAAGAGAAGCAAAAGCAGGGAAATTGAACCGTATATATCCGTTTTAAGCCACTGGATGCAGTATTTTTATTTTTTTGGACATGTTTTGTTATTGCCAGTGTGTGGCTGCTCCTGACTAGTAAGTAGTAACTTGGAAAGATCGAGTACATGAGCAATATTTGTGCAAATATATTTCAGGTGCATATATCAGTGATCGGGCCTGACAGGATGAGGGTGACATGGATCACCAAGGACGACGCGCCGGCGATCGTCGAGTACGGTACGTCGTCCGGCCAGTACCCGTTCTCCGCCACCGGGGGCACGACGACCTACTCCTACGTCCTCTACCACTCCGGGAAGATCCACGACGCCGTCATCGGGCCACTGCGGACCAGCACGACCTACTACTACCGCTGCAGCTCCAGCTCCTCTCGCGAGTTCTCCCTCCGGACGCCGCCGGCCACCCTCCCCATCAACTTCGTCGTCGTCGGTAAGTGCGGTGTCGCATCGCATCATGTGCGTGTCAAGCTTGCTCATGCATGCATGGCGTGTTTTGATGGACATGGCAATGGCGGCAATCACTACGTTCCAGGTGACCTTGGGCAGATGGGATGGACAGCTTCCACGCTGAAGCACATCGCGGCCACGGACTACGACATGCTCCTCCTCCCCGGCGACCTCTCCTACGCCGACTTCATCCAGCAACGGTGGGACTCGTACGGCCGCCTCGTGGAGCCACTGGCGAGCGCGCGGGCGTGGATGGTGACGGAGGGCAACCACGACGTCGAGAGGCTGCCCCTCGTGGAGGAGCCGGAGTCCTTCCGGGCCTACAACGCGCGGTGGCGCATGCCGCACGACGTCGAAGTCGCGGGCGCCTCGCCGTCGGGCGACAACCTCTACTACTCCTTCGACGCGGCCGGCGGCGCGGTGCACGTCCTCATGCTGGGCTCGTACGCCGACCACTCCGTGGGCAGCGCGCAGCACCTGTGGCTCCGGCGCGACCTGGCTGCGGTCGACCGGCGCCGGACGGCGTTCGTGGTCGCGCTGGTGCACGCGCCTTGGTACAGCAGCAACGACGCGCACCGCGGGGACGGCGACGCCATGCGCGACGCCATGGAGCCCCTCCTCCTCCACGGCGCGCGTGTTGACGCCGTGTTCGCGGGGCACGTGCACGCGTACGAGCGGTTCGGGCGCGTGCGCACCGGGGAGGAGGATCCCTGCGGGCCCGTTTACGTCACCGTCGGCGACGGCGGCAACCGGGAGGGGCTGGCCGGGAAGTTCGTCGACCCGCAGCCGGCGATCTCGGTGTTCCGGGAGGCGAGCTTCGGGCACGGGCGGCTTGAGGTGGTGAACGCCACGCATGCGCTTTGGGCGTGGCACCGGAACGACAACGATGACGCGGTGGTCGCCGACCAGGTGTGGATCACCAGCCTCGCAGCCAACCCAGCTTGCATCAGAAACATGAACAAGATGTGATGTGACCAGCTCAGAACCGATGAACGACTTGTACTAGCATTGGAATCTTCGTTAGTAAATTCATGGCTTGTTTCTTCTCCACAAAGGAAAATTTCATTCATAAATCTGTCAAATGTCTCGTAGAGAAAGAAAAGTACAGTACATCGTCTTACCTCCCCAAGATATAGTCGGAGTTTAGATTTTCTTGTACTGTTTAAAATTGGACAGGCTGCCTCCCTTAACTCTCAAGACCATTTAAACTGTCTCATGTCCTAGTCAGATATGGTTTTCAGGATTTTTAGTTCAAAAACAAATTCTGCAATAGCATTATAGGATTTTTTAAACCACAAAAAATATCTTGAAGCTTCTAAACTTCGAAAAAGCATTCTACAGGGAGAACGGGACATGAGAAACCAAAATAAAATAATTTAGAGCTCTTGAAAATATCTCTAGAAGCTTTCAGAAATTGGATTTAGCTCTAACATTTGATTTTTATCTAATTGCATTTTATGAACGTTTCACAACAGAGATATGAGATGCAGCTAGCATGAATGCATTCAATATGAATGTATGCAGCATTCATGCTGGTTACATAATACATCCCATAGTTTTGTAGTGGAAAGTTTTAAAAAGATGTTTAGAATTAATTAGAATCAGATTTTTTTTGGATATCCTTCTCATTTTCCCAAAGAAAATTTTAATTTTTGGAATCTTCTGGAGATATTTTCATAGGCTCTCTATATATTTTTATTTGGGTGTCACGTGTCCCAATCCACCTCTAGGATCTTTTTCTCAAGATTTTTTGTGGTTTAAAAACCTCACTAGGATTTTTATTGGATTATTTGGACTAAAAATGTGAAACTTGTTTCCATTATCAAGAAAAAATTCCATTTTGCTCCCTTGAATAGATGCTAGCAGCTCCCATTCATCCATTGTGTGCCTCTTTCCCCATGGACAGGATCTTTCCCTGAAGTCAAAATGATTTTTTTTTCTCTATATCTTTCCCATGGAATTGAATTGAAGGGAAAGGAAAGTTTCTTTCCTATGATCACTTCCTACAACAAAGGCCGCTACATGACCCGATTCATAGGAATTTGAATCCTGTGTTTCTCCTTTATTTTTCCTCCATTCCAAAGGAGGGCTAAATTTTAACTAGGACTAACAATTATTAGTTCTAATCCACCAAGGCCCTAAGGTCATGTACATGTTAGAGTTACATTTTCATTATGTACCTTAATACTAATTAATAGTAGTAGTAACGACTATTCTAGACATGCATGAATGCATGCTTGATACCATTTGTCATACTAATGTAGCAATATGGACACTTGTCAATACATAGAAAATGTTGATGGACACTTGTCAATGCATGAAACATGCAAATGGACACGTGTCGATGCATGAAAACATTTTTTTTTGTGGGTGGAGAAAAGCCAGCTAATGGCAGTCTAGAGCCCTGGATGTTTACATGCACGCATGAAACTTAGCATGACTCATATTGGAGTCACTTTGAATGATTTTTTAGTCTACGTGGAAGGCAAGTCTAGCGAGCACTCATGTGTTATGGGGTCCGAAAACACTAGATTTTTTACCATTGATCCGGTGAACCAACGGCTCAGCTCTCTCATCCCAAAACCCCACGTCTTCTCTTCTTCTTCCTCGCTCACTGCTTCCCATTATTCCTAGACGCTGTCATCACCGGTTGCTCGATCTCCCTCATGGCTCTCCAAAGCTCTCCCCTCCTCTCCACCTTTGGCATCGTTGAGGGACTCCGGCGAGCCAGAGAGCACTTCCCCAATACGGGCGTCTCATTTTTGTGCTCATTTACGATATCCACACCCCTGCCCTGCCCTCCTCCTCCAGTCTCCAGCGGCTCCCCGCCACCACCCGCCGCCACTACGCTAACCCAACTTCGCTGGGTTGTCACCATGACACCACTGCCCTTGCTCCGTCCAACCGCCTTCCCCCTACACTGTCCGGCTCGGCGGTGCCACCGCCGCTTCACCCATGCCCCCCCGGCTGGTCTGCTGCCCACAGATTCCCTTTCCCTTCTATATAGGCCCACTGAGGATAGATGAACCCTAACTTGCCGAAGGCCTCGCTGGAAACGAAGATGACACAAGGAAGAGACTAAACCAGGTATGTGGCTTTCATTGATCGGTGAAAAAATCGAGTGTTGATGGAGATTGAATCACTCGAAGTGCAGTATATAAAGCATTTCTCCTAAAATATGTCCAAGGGAGCGATCGAGCTAGTAGTTTTCCATGCAAGGCAGCAAGTGTGAACATTTCAGTTGTAGCTTTCTACCCTCGAGAATCAAGATTTGTCATATACGATTACGAGCCATGAGTTCATGACGGCAGCATGCAGTAGCTCTGGAGATTATTAACAGCTTTCCGAGCGTTATGATTGCTAGACATCGGGGAGCACCAAGTCGCATAGGCCAAACCAAACTGCATGCCCAACGTGACGACGCCTTCCGTCGCCGAATCGTCAACAGTAGAGCTTCACCGGCGGCAACACGAAGCCCGGTGCCTCGCCGAGGAACGGCACCGCCTCCGGCTGCGCCTGGAGGTCTCCGTAGAACTGGTACTCGGCCTCGTAGTCATGCACCTCCGTCTCCTTGCTCCGGTTGGTGTGGTAGTGGTGCTTTACCCCCGCCGCCTTCCCGAA